CTCTCTGGGAAGTCAGAAAAAAGGGGGCCTTGGGGAGAGGTTCAGGGGACTAGCCTGCAAGAGTTGCCACTGCCCATTGCTCCCCTGGTTGCAAGCCTTGTGGGGTCCCTTAGAGTTTAGGAGATGTGTGCCTGTGAGGGAAGGAAGGGGGAAAAGGAGACAGGAAAGGGAATGGCAAGGGGGTGGTGCTCCCCAGAGGGAGAGCAAGCTCTGGGTCCTTTGTCTTTAGGCTTTCACTTCTCTCTTCCAGGTGGGAATCTTCGGGGAGATCTCAGGGGAGGGTTTTAGCAGAATATTCATCAGTTTTCTGGGTGCACTCCTGCAGGGCTGTGGCCTCCACTGGTTGGTCAGCATCAGGGAGCGGGGGTCGTCAGTCACTGCAGCTGGTCCTGGAGTCACCTACCTGGTTTTGCTGCTTTTCTGGGTCTGGAGCTGAAATATAACTAAGGCCTAGTTGCTATTTCTATATTTTCTGTAAGTTGCTCTGTCATTTTGCTTAGCTATCTGTCTCAGTTTCCCTATTCCACTTGTCCTGTGTTACTGGACTGTCTCAGTTTTATACATTAGAATAAAAGGGGGAGATGTAAAGAGGGTTACATGAAATTCATTGGTGATAGATTAGGGAGGCAGGAGAAAGCAAGGTGGAGAAATCTCTGAAATTAAAGAGTACGATGGAGAATTGAAATACTTTTTATATTGGTGGATACAGGATAGTTAGCAATTAGCATTTACAGCACATAGCGATGGTATTTGGGCAGCAAGATAACAACAGGAGCGTGCTGTGGTCTCCTGCTCTAGTGCAGTGGGTGTACCCTGAGGAGTCCAAAAGAGAGGGAATACCCTTGTTACAGCATAATAAGAAGCTAGGAAAATTCCAGAACAAGCTGAATAGGAAAACTAACGGTTCAACAGCAATTTGCAGCCACCTAGTAAATCCTATCTTCACTAAACGAAGGACACTTAAGAGTAGATGGTTTGTACTTCTCCTCTCGAACCAGAGGGTAAATAGCTTAAATCACCCTCCTCAGGGAGACAGGTACCCAATTAGTGCCATTTGCCAACCACACCCAAGGACATNCTCTCGAACCAGAGGGTAAATAGCTTAAATCACCCTCCTCAGGGAGACAGATACCCAATTAGTGCCATTTGCCAACCACACCCAAGGACAGACAAATTAAGAGAATAAATCTCATTTTGTACATCAACATAAAGTTGATGAATATTCTAAGCCCTCCCCTAAATACCCAGCCTTTAAAGCCCCTGAAAATGAAGGTACCAGCACTCTCTCCCTCCAGGGAGCAGGCCTGTGCCAATCCCTTCTCCCTTTCCTTCCCCCACAGGCACGAATGCCCTAACCTCTAAGAGATCCCATGAGACTTGCAACCAGGAGAGTAATGGTCCTTGCTTCACTGTTCTAAGTATGTTTTTGTTGCGGTCAATAAATTCTTGCTTGCTTTTCTACACTTGGTCCCTTGGTTGAAATCTTTCCCTCAAGACAAGAACCGAGGTCTCCTCATCTCCTTGTCACTGTAAGAAGGAAATAATCTTTTCTGTCAAAGGGATTAGAATAGGCCCAACTGAACAAATGTCCACCTCAGCATCCTCCACTTTGTATTCAGTACATAGGTGCCCAATTGTCCAACCCAAGGGTCCGCCCTGTGCACACGTTTTCTAAATTAGCCAATCGGTTTAGATAGTGAAGCCTCAACCTAACCAATAGGTCATGGTGCAGTGGCACTCGTGTTAGGGATAAAAGTCGAAAGGACTTCCTGTTCAGTGTGCTTGCTTCTCTGATTTGGGTAGCTCCGCACCCTTCTGCAGAAGTAGAAGTTTGCCTGCCGAGTTACTTTCCATTTCTTGTGTCTTTATTTGTGGCAGGGTCAAAACCTATTCCCAGCATCATCTTGCCAGAACACTCTGACACTCCAAGGGTATGTTATCTTAGATGCAAAAAGACGACAGGCTTACTTAAGTAAAGACTGGTCTTTGTCAAGGAAGCTACAGGCCTAGGATGTGACTACCCATCATAAGTCACTTTTAGTGAGGAAGTTTTATGTTCTGATGATCCTGTGCAGTTACATTTGGTCTGAGTTTGTAAGAACCACCATGAAGGCCTCCCTGAGCTTGTCAAGGGAGTATGTCAAGTTTAGTATGTGGCCCCCTTTTGGACTACACACTTTAAAGGGCCCTTGAGATTACATTGGGCCCACCAGGATAATCCAAAAGAATCTCCACATTTTAAAGTTAGCTGGTAACCTTAATTCTATCTGTAAGCTTAATTCCCCTTTGCCATATAATTTAACACATGCACAAATTCTAGGGAGTGGAATGTGGACATCTCTGGGGGGCATTGTTTGGCCCCCCCACACTTGGCGAAGGTCACAGCCCTTGAGCTGAGTGCTGTGCCCCTGAGGTTTATGTACATGGGTTTGTTGTAGGCAGTGGGAACAGCACTGGGTGTTAGTCTGGTGGGGTCAGACCAGACCTGGGTTCAGCAACCTTGGTACTTGGATTGAGCCAAGACCCGAACTATAAGAGAACATTTATTTGGAAAATCACAGAGGTGGAAGAAGTAATTTCTAGAAGAAATGGGCTTAGCAAACAAGTTATAGAGGCAAAGGAAGGGCCCTTGGTGCTTGGGAATGAGGAAGCTAATGTTAATGCACCTGGGCACCTGGAAGATTGAGGGGAAGTGGAAAACTCAGAGGAAGAGCACACTGGGTCTTCCTTCTAAGGTTTAAGGGTGGAGATTTTAGGGGAGGTCCCAGGGTAAGATCTCATTATAGTACTCAGCAGCTTTCCAGGTGTGTCCTTTCAGGGTTGTGGTCCCCACTGATTGGTTGGTCAGTCTGCCTTGTCCCCTTCTCCCTACTTGTCCATAAACCTATCACCAAAAACCTCACCAATTCTTCCTACACATTTCCTTCCTATTTTCTTTATTCCTGTTGCCACCACCCTATTCCATTCCATCATCATTTCCCTACATTTTCTAGGGTGGAGGTCAGGGTCATTATCCAATGCAGCTGGTCCTGAAGTCAGCTGTGGCTGGTTTTTTTGTTTTGTTTTTTAATCTTCACCAGATGATATTTTTTCCCACATCGTTAGTGGATGAGAGAGCGAGAGAAACACCAATGTGAAAGAGATACATTGATTGGTTGCCTTCCTGACTGGGCTGGGGATTGGGCGCTGGAATCGAACTCCAAGAACCCCTCCAAGAACCCCTCCAAGAACCCCTCCAAGAACCCCTCCAAGAACCCCTCCAAGAACCCCTCCAAGAACCCCTCCAAGAACCCCTCCAAGAGCCTTCAGGCCGCAGGACTCTAGCCACTGAGCCAATCCGGCTAAGGCTCCACGGAACCAGTTCTAAACGCGCCTTTCGTAGGCCCGCCCACTCCCAGAGCAGCGCCTCCCGCCAGACCCGGGAAGCTTTCCTCGCCCAGCAACCCGAGAGACGACCTGGCGCCTGCCCCGGAACCGCGCCAGTTCCGGGGCGGAGGAGCCCGCTCGGGTGGGGAGAAGCGGGTGAGCGGTCCGGTCGGGCGGGCGGCCTCTGGAGGTAGGACCCCAGGGGTGGGCGGTGTGGCGCCCTGGGAGCGGGCGGCACCCACTCGGGCGGGAGCGGGCGGGAGACGCGCTCCAGACGCTGGAGGAGCGAA